TATAATTTTCACCTTTTAACAACTTTTCAAATTTTTTATATGCTTAATTATATGTAGTGTCAAAATACAGAATATTTGAGTTACGTTGTAATGATGAATTTTATATTTTTTTATGATATGCTTTCACTACGTCAAAAACAGATGCTGACAACTGTTTCTTTTAGTAGTCTCTCGATGCTGATTTTAGTAGTCTTCCGAGCAGCTGTCTGATATATTTACAGACTACTGTTTAAAAACAATTGTGTAAAATAGTTGACGACAACTGTTTTGTAATATTTTAGAGTACCACTTTTTGGTGTTTTCTTTGTATGAGTAAGACATCTGTTTTTTAGAGTTAAAGATAACTGTGATTTTTTGTTGTCTATTTATAATAAATACTACTGTTGTTTTTAACTTCAGACTCCTAATTTTTGGTGTTGTCGTTCAACAATATAGACACCTACTTTAAAAAGTAATTGAAAAATATATCAGACTGCTGCTCGGAAGACAACTAAATAAAATTAGCATCAGACAACTGTTATCTTTTGTTGTATTTCTAGAATATGAACTACTAACATTATTCTTATTCAAACTGCTATTTTTTTAGTTGTATATTGATTATTAATACAACGATGTTTTGTAGTTTTCCTTGAAGTATTCTAACTATCTTTTATGACAGTAGTTAAATTGTTTATCAGACAGCTACTCCAAAGATTACTAAAGAAATTTGTATCAGACAACTATTATTTCACATTGTATTTTAAAAATATGAACTACTATTTTTGTAGTATTTCAAACAACTGTTTGTTTTAATTGTCTAAATGTTATTAACACTACGGGTTTGTGTAGTTGTACATACACTTTTCAAACTATTAATTTGAATGGTAGTTGAATTTTTTATTAGACATCTGTAATCTTGTGTTGATTACCAAATAAATATAAATTCAAAAAATACAATATATTGAGCAATATATAAATTCATACATTTAAAATATTATTAACATGTAATAATTTAATATTTACATCATCTTCCTTACAATTTACACATTTTACATGTCTGCTTCTTCAATCCATCCTATTCCTATGATACAGGTTGTTGCTCCTACACAGGAACAAGTGAGGAACCCAATCCTTGAGAATCTTGGTGGATTGAACTTGAATCTCCTACCTGCCGGCAGAAACCCAATAACTCCTGAAATGATCATTGTGAATCAAGAACTAATTGTTGGAGACAACCACATAGAACGTATAATTGAATCTAATATTAAAAAACAATAAAAATGTGTGAATGTGTTAACTGAAATTAGTTGTACTTGAATCACCTCTTTCACGCACAAATAAACTTTTTCAGACAGTGATAATAATATCCGTACCTTTCGGAGTCCTTGGTTCTAGTGTGATTTTTCATTCCTCTCTAATGCTTGAAAAAATTATGGCAAATAATCATCAAGGAAATCTGTCAAAATATAGTGAAGGTAAAAGACTAATGAGTTAAGCCAAACCTTTAATCAGGATAGAATACAAAACACCATTGATTAAAGTATGCCTACACTATTCGGATAGTCTTCAATGCATCCAATGGATAGTCTTCAATACATCTATTTGAATTGTTTACACTATACTCTAACAAATTATTCAGTTTAAGATTTTCACTCTATGTGAACATAGAGCTGAACATATTGATGCTTAGATAAGGACCCCTCATTGAATCATTATCATACAACAACAAGAAAAAATTTAAAATATATTAACTAGTTTTGTAATCCTTATTCCTATCCAAAAAATACCTTGAACACACACATCTTGGTGAAATCTTTGTTTATTACTTTACCCAAGTTCTTGCTATAATGGTTCAAGCCACCATAACAAGCTATTATGGAAGAGAAACATATCAGAAGGTAGTTCACGCCAAGCCCAAGACATTCCTCAACAGAACAAAAACAATAACAAAGAACATGAACACGAGACAAATAAAATCAAAGAATTCAAACCTCACAGAGTTAATAATATAAGGTCTCGGTTGTACAGTAATAGGTTGTAGTAACAAAGCTACCGTTATTGGTTAATGCTATCTTTAGTTACCTCTAAAAAAAGAACACAAGATTCAGCTTAGAAATAAAGAAAAAGCTGCAGATTGTTCAAAATAAAAAAATAATTCAGTTCAGATATTATTCAAATTCAGCACTTAAAATTCAAAAATCAACATCAGCCCAAACCAATTTGCAGACTTGCATAACAGTAGCTAGCAAGCAATTGGAACAAAGTCAGTGTACAGCAGCAGTAAACACCAATGTCACAGCAAAAACCAGACCCATACATGCGGAATGGTACACACCCAGAAGCACACAAGGTTCAGAGCAAGAACAACAATAGTACCATTCATCCAAGAAATCAGAGAAGCAAACAGAGTTTGTTCAAACGCCATTTCAAGGTCAACACAAACAACTCTTCAACAGACCAAACGAAACTCCATAGAATTAATCAAAGAACAAGCATGAAGACATACAAAAACAATGTCCCGAGATGAACAGTGAATACGTAATCACAAGAGATCCTCAAATCGATTGAAAAATCAATTGGATAAGGAATTTACGTTCATACCTTGAAAGGGAGCTCAAAACACCCTGAAATTCAGAGATGTAGCCTTCAAAATTGCTTGGACCAACACGAATTAACCAGAGAGGATCGCAAATGAACAAAATCTGACATGTGTTGACCTTCGAATATTCAAAATAAAGATCCAAAAACAGCAAATCGCCGGAGCTTGTTCGCCGTGGGTGTCTCGTTGGCCGGCGCTGGTGTGTCTCTGGTTCCCGATTGAAGAACGGCGAGAGAGAAAAGGGGTTGGCGGCGTCTCTATGGAAGAAAGAGTCGCAGGGAGTATTTATGTTATTAGGGTTTTGTATCCCATAATTTAAAACAACGTGTCTGAGTAAAAACACACTTTTTGAGTTAACTTGCTCCGAATTGATATCTATTTGCACCATTGGATTCAATTCGCCGATCCATATCCAACGATATAACTTTTATTATCATTCGACAAGTATTTACCGGTTTCTCCTAGTCCGTATTAATCATTTCGTTTAATTAATACCAATCATTCCTTTAATTTAAACCTTTACAAATGGAGTCAGATTAGTCTCGTAATATTGAGACGATTAGAATTCTCTGAAATATCTTTTAACTAGTATTTTTACCCGTGCCATGCACGGGGTGGAACAATTTTTTTGTTTTGTTTTTGTTATTTTCATCGTTTCAACATTTTTCAAATATCAAACAACATAAAACATATATTATTTGCTAATGAAAAGTCTACTATATACATTTAAAAATTAACATTTTAAAGTCTAATTAAAATTAGAATATTTCAAAAAATGTGGTATACAATATTTTTTGTGAAGTTATAAGGGTTATCAAAGACATCTAAAACTAATACTTTCAATTTTATTTTTACTCTCACTCGTGAAATAATAATGTAAAATTAAGAATAAGTGAATACCAACTTGGTAAAAATAATATTATAAGTGTCAGTGTTTGACATTAACTTTTATCTATAATCATAATGAAACATAGGCTATCGAAAATTATATTATTTGAAATTTTAAGAGTAATCCGGCATGAAATGATATACGGAGTATAATTCATTTATGTTATGTAACCCTTCTCTTAGACTTTATTTCGTAATGGTTAACCTTGCACTATTATATAATTCAGATGCTTAATCTTGCACTAATATACAATAATGGGTACAACATTCTTCAAATTAAAATTATTTTGTGGCTCACGATTTACAAACATTATATTATCATCATTTGTTACTACTCTAAAAAAAATTATTTGTTACTCAATTATTATACAATCGTCATCAATGGGCAAAATATATGATCCCCACATTGGTTTAGATTATCGAAAAAATTGATTTAACACCTCAGATTGATATGAGTCTCTTCTCTCAAATTAATTTTTAAAAAAATATGATTTCCTTTACTTGGTTTAATTAAAAAACAAAAAAAGATCTTATAAATATTCTTCATTTTATTAATTTAAAAAAATAGATTACCAACTTTATGATTCAAAAAAATATGATCCTTATATTTGTAAAATAAATATTGTTTGTCTTTCGTGCATTATTATGATTATTCTCCCTCGTATTGATTATAAAGAGTTTTTAAATAAAACTAGAATTAGATCTAGCAGATTAGATCTAATCAGATAAGATGCTTTAAGATCAAATCAAATTCAATCAGATCTTATTGCTTACATATTTCATGTGAGCTAATACATCTCAATTTAACATATTTATATGTTGATTAGATTATATCTAATGAAAATCAGATCTCATCATATCAGATTAGACTAGCTCAAATTAAAAGAGTTTTAATTATAACTAATCGGACTAATTAAATCAAATCGGACAAAAACATATCTAATCGAAATAAATCAAAGTCAAATCCAATAAGATGAGATCAAATCTTCAAAAATATAGAATCAAATCAAATTCAAATCTAGTAAGATCAGATCAAATTTTTTAAAAAATAATATCAGATCTAATTAGATTGAATTAGACCAAAATAGATCTGATCAGATCAAATCAAATTCAAATTTATTAAGATCAGATCAAGTCTTCAAAAAAAACAAGTTGATTATAAAGGTCGTGTCCGGTTTTCCTGATATAATCTATAAATGCATCAGACCAAAACAGATATAATCCTATCAAATCAAATTCAAATACAATAAAATAAGATCTAGTCTACAAAAAAATCAATTTACTAGTCAAGATTGTTTCTTATTTTCCAGATATAATCTTTAAATGCATGAGATATGAATTTAGTTAATACTCCGTATTATTAAAGTTTACCTCCCAAACTCTAGAATTTTAATTTCCCTCCATCTAAATTCATTTTCCCTCCCCTAAATTTCATTTTCCCTCTTTTTAAATTCATTTTCTCTCCCCTAAATTTCATTTTCCCTCTTCTGTAATTTCTCTTTTCCCTCTTCTAAAAAACTCTATCTCTCGTCGATTAAGGTCAGAAGAAACCCTATCTTTTCGCCACTTCTTCTTACCTTCATGCCTGGAGCCAGGCCTGTCGATCCTCGTCGCTCCTATCTTCTTCTTCGCCATCGAGATACCTCGACGCCGGGCAGTGGTCTTCCGATCCCCATAGAGTACCGCAATCCCTACTGCCTCCAACTTACAGGTTTTACTTTATCTTGAAAATACTCTAATGGTTAAATTATGTGAATTTCTTTGCATATCTCTTGAAAATACTCTAAATTCTTCAATTATATGAATGAAAATATTCTAATTCTTCAATTATGAGGATTTATTTGCTTAATTTTTGTTACCTCAATTTGATTTTCTTTTTATTGATATACTTTTAGGTCAGATTTTTAAATAAATTTTTTTATCTAAAAATATGAAAGAATCAAAATTATTTTTTACTAGTTTTTTTGTTCACACCTACTAGGTTTACAGTAGGTTAGAAAAACAAATTTTGGAAATTTTATTTGAGAGCTCCATGAGGTTCTCCTCAATCTGTTTTAATATTTTTTCGGCAATTCAAAATTCAGAGTTCCATTACCAAAGACTAACCAAAGCTTGAAGCTTATAAAAAGACTAAGAGTATTTTCACACTTCTCAGTTTGTAAGTTACAGTTTTAACCTATGGTCATAATTAATCTTCCCAAATTCCCTTTGAGAGTATTGTGTAACTTACTATATATATATATATGGGTGTGTATATAAAGTGGACACTCTTAGTATCAAGTCCCCTTTGTGAGCCTTTTGTTATAACTTATAAATGCTCCTTTACTAAAAACCATATCTTTTGACATAAGGGAAGTTTGTATAATGGTTTCTGATTGTACAGTCTTTATCAATGTGGATATGGAGGTGGGTCTTGATGCTTCTGGGTCTGTTTTGTTGATGAACCTATTTCGAATGATTTGGATGAGGTGCTGTTGTGCTCTTGCTGATGCTCACAGTTGCTGCCTTGGGGACTGCTGATGCTCACAGTTGGCGTACAGGTGCTGCGTACAGGTTGAAATTAAACCTACTATTGGATTTTGCTACTGGATTTTGCTACTGCTTGGGATCTACTGGTGCTGACCATGAAACCTTCTACCTGGGCTGATTTATTGGATACCAAGGGCTGTGGATTAACCTTTGGATGATGGAATTCTTGGATGTCATGGTATGTTTGTGGTATCTAACAAATGTATATATGTCATGTGCTTAACTATGAAATTCTTGGATGAGGCATAAGACACTTAGGCTGAGCCAAATTAAAAGATTGAATTCAATCAATTACTTGTTTAACTTAATAGCTTATAAACCCATTATTTTCTCCTCAATTATACGTTGTGGGATACTCTAACAGTAACAAATTTGGGAATTCGATGTCTTTTTCATGCTTTGAATATGTGATATAAAAAGAATACCTATATCTGATTATGAATACATATTTACGCAGCTTGGACACTTTTCCCTATGCGGGAACAACCACTACATGTGAATCTCTCTTCATGGGAGTTCCCTGTGTCACTATGAGAGAGTCTGTAGATGCTCATAATGTTGGTGTGAGTCTCCTCAACGCAGTTGGTAAGTGCTTTCTTTTCTGTTTTGCAATGTGCTATGGCTTGCTTTGACATTTTTCAGCCATTCAAAGTTAGACTACAATTCGAATATGTTCTTGCTTTGATTGATTATTTTTACTTTAGGGTGTAAAAACTTGGTTGCCAAGAACGAGGACGAATATGTTGAGTTGGCAATTCACTTGGCAACTGATCTAACTGCCCTCTCAAAGCTGAGAATGAGCCTTCAGAACCGTATGCTGAAATCTCCTCTCTGTGATGGGTCAAAATTCACCCTGAATCTTTTTGGTTCTATAGTAACCACGCTCTTAACCCCCCTGCTGGTATTTTAGTTTCACTGCCTCCTTTTCTATTAAATTGCTCGTAATTACAGTAATTAATTATATTTCTTCAAAAAATGTTACAGAGATTAAAGTAGATGCCAGGGTGGAGAGGAAGACGAAATCTGCTGCTCTGCCGGCCGCCACGACACCCTCCCTGCCGGAGGGCAACACAACAATCTTCGTGTAATTGGCACTCCTATCTTGAAGATTTGGTCTTTATTATTTGATTTGAGTAATTTTAGAATATGGATTTTCATTCTTTGTGTTTTTTTTGTTTTCTACTTTGGATTGAAGCAACCCAATGTACTCTTTATTTTGTTTTTGATAAATTTTGTGTACTCTTATTTGCATCTCGCCATCTTATTGTTTTTTGGTTTTATGATGTGAGATTGATTGTTTATATGAGTTCTCAATTCCCTTTGTGTGTAGTAGGACAGTACCCAGCTTGTCCATGCACTTTTTCTTTCGTTTCAATGGAAGTATTTATTTTTTCATGTCCATATAATTAGTTTGAAACAATATTTATTTGATTGTTGTACATATAATATTGTCTGAAAGTATGAAAGTAAAGTTAGATAGTGTATCCATTTTCATTGTAAAAAAGATTACCATTACTCTGAACTTTTAAAATAGTTTTAGGCTTAAGAGCTATACTACTATTCAAAACGAATATTCTTAACTTTTAAAATGGTTTTAGGTTTAATACGCACAATTCTCTTAAAAATAGGTTGCTTTATTTATTATAGATAACCGTGAACAAAAACGGTGTGACACACACTACTAGTAATACATTACGGTTTCTCAAAACTTTGAAAATAGTTTTAGGATTAATAGTCTAACTACTGTTTAAAAAAAGTATTCTTAATTTATTATTAACAACTTGTAATAGATTACGGTTTCTATAAATTTTAAAAATAGTTTTACGCTATATAAATATATTACTTTTACAAGGGAGTTTTCTATTCTTATAATAAACAACTATGAAAAACAAAACCATATGAAACATACAACTAACAATATAATACTATTTCTTATAAGTTTAAAAACAGTTATAAACTTAAAAAACCAGACTACTGTTTAGAAATAGTAGTCTTAACTAATTATTGACAATTGTGGCAACAAAAACTGTATTTTTAGGTGAAATGGACTACTAATAAAAAATTACCGTTTCTCACAACTTTAAAAACAGTGCTATCCTTAATTCATAGACTACTGTTATAAAAGAGTCTTTTATTCCCATTAGAAACAACGGTGGCAAAAAAAACATATGAAAAAGACAACTAGCAATAGATAACTGTTTCTAATAAGTTTAAAAACAGTTCTAGACTAAAACATCATACTACTGTTTATATAGAGTATTCTTAACTTATTATTGACAACTGTTGCAACAAAAACTGTATTTTGAAGTGACACAAACAACTAGTGATAGATTACCGTTTCTCGAAACTTTAAAAACAGTTTTAAAGCATTATAGCTAGACTACTGTTCTATAGCCAAGAAAAACTCACAGTAGTCTGTTTTTTTAACTACTGTGTTTCTATAAACAGTAGTTAATCAGCAGTCGTCTGATACTGTTTTTGGCGTAGTGTTTATTTACTAAGATTTTGGTAACTAAGCTTTAAGAAAAATGAATGTAGTGAAAATGATACCAATCTCAATGATCCTCAGTATTCAAATCTTCCTTTACAATAAAAGTTGTTCGATCTTAGAAAAACAAAGCATTTAATGAATAGTGAAGTTATGAATTCTAATCTTTAAAACTTATGTAAAAAAGTATATATAGGAATATGCTCAGCATTTAGCATTAATGTTTTGAAAAGTTTATCTAACAGTAGCGTTTGACTTTACTATTTTTAAAATTAATTTATATATTTAATTTTTTCAAAACCGCTAACACTAATATTTGAAAATGTTATTTTCAAACAAAATCTAGATCTTAACTTTCTTCATTTAAAACTTTTCACAAGAAACCATCATTTATAACAATTGAGTTTTGTTTATGCTCTAACAAGCCCCCAAATGAGTGGACAAAATTTGTTTATGTTGAGTCTTGTATGTGAATATTAATTATTTTTAATTGTGTGGTGGTGAGATTTAAACTTGTGACTTCTAAGTCAGTAAAACTTTGATATCATGGAAAAGTTCAACCAGAATATTAAAGTTGTGCTTGTGGATATTATAACAAATTTTACCTTTTAAGGGTTTCCAATGCAAAATTTATGACTATAAAAACTCTACTTTATAGTTCATATTTTTAGTTTGTTTTAAATGAAACTTAATTTGAATAACAAAAACTTAAATAAGACCCCATGGCTCGAGATTCTTGGATCCGCCTCTGATTGCAATCTTGGTAATTCGATGTAAGTCACAGCAGTGAGGCGTTATAAAATGGCGTTATAAGTTACATTCTACAACTGGCCTATAACTTAAGCCCAAATCACACAAAAATATCTTATACTAACTCCGTCCTAAATTATTTACCACATTTGTATTCCCGAAGCAAAATATCAAGTTTTTTCAATTTATTTTATTTACATATTGATATAAAAATAAAAAACAAAATTTACATATAGAAAAACTACATGAAAAATTCTTCGAAATAAGAGGTGTCAAGAATATTTTATTTTATCAAATAACCAATGAAAACGTCAAAATAAACAAAAGTTCCCGCGACTGACGAAAAAACAAATGTTGTGAATATTTAGGGACGGAGGGAGTATACAAATATACTCTAACACCGGTCCTGTTTAATTATTTGGATGAGAATTTAATTGAGCGATCTTATAACAGTTAAAATTCTTCCAATTTCCTTCTTAGAGTTTTCCCTAAATTTTATAGACTTCTCTCAAAAGTGAAAAGAAGAAAATTAATGAAAAACGACTCATTTTCCTGAAATCATTTTTTATTTTTCCAAAAAAAATCTTTCATACATAAGGAATTTTAGTAGGGCTACGCTGCTCCCGAATAACAATGAAGACTAATTAAATCAAATTTTCTATTTAACCAATTTGACTGTAATTTGGGGCAACGTGCCCAAGTGAACCCTTTGAATCCAATTCAATCGTCTCATGTTCTTTCTTTCATCATTGTATTAGGGTTTTTTAAATGTGATTTTCAGGTGTGGGCATATATATAAGTTATACTCCACCCGTATCAAATTCAACAGGTTGTGTTAGGGATCCAAATCGATTCTCTTTTACTCATTACTATCGTTAATTACTGAGCTCTTTCAATTCTGTACGTAGGGCTTTATATTTTCCCTCAATTTCTGGGCTAATTATTCTGGATAGGGTGGACTAAACAGATTATGATTGTTAGCTCTAATTCCGTGTATATGTTGTTCATAAATCACCAACAAATATAAGGCAAAGTTACCATAAGAGAAGAACTTTTTCTACACATTAATTTCCTGATGATAGCAGGGGTTGCTACATGTGCTTGCAAAAAAAAAAACACAGATATTGGTTTGTTATTGATGCATGTTCTCCAAAAAAAAAACAAAAAAGGAAGAAGACGATGTCCATCAAATGCTCAATTGGATAAAATGCTCAATTAAACTTTTTCCACTTATGATTTGAGGAGGATGTAATTGACAAGTCAAGGCGACTTTCTCCGTTTGAGGTTCCAGATAGCCAGGTTCCAAAATTTCATCTCAAGCTCCCAAAAACAAGGGTTAGAAAGTATATATAGGTATTTATAGATATATGGTGCCCCGGCCTCCCAATTTTCATCGACAAATCAAAGACCTTGTTTCCATGATTTAGTTTCAAACTGTGATAAAATAGATGAACTCCCACAGTTTCTAGAGTCTCCATTGAATTCTTTTATCAATGTTTTTTTTAATTTTCTTTAGTGGGAGGGCACAATGATGGCAATTGGAGCACTGGATGACGCTGGCAATGGAGTTCTGTCCCGGAAGTATTCGTTTGAAGCTGAACCAGTGTGTGAGTCAATAAGAGCAACCTTTAGGTCTTACTCTTCCTCTATTTTTTATTTAATTTTATATTTCTAACTTTGTTTCAATGAATTGCTGATTCTATTTCGGAGCCTCTGTAAACCACCTCCAAACTTAACCAAATAAATTTTCAGTCTGAGCTTTTGCAAATGGAAGGAGATTGTGTTAAGGTCGAACTCAGGTATCATCAGGGGTCATCTTTGGTTTTTCACATCTCGAAACCACCTCCAAACTTCACCTCCCTTTTATTTAGTTTTCAAATATTTTTTCTATGATTCATTAAAACTTTTACTAAACTGAACACATGTAGTTAAAAATTTTTATATTTTGAGTGATTTAGACCATTTTGGGAAAAAACTCTTCCATCTTTCGAACTAGAGAACATTTTCGGATTTTTGCCCAAGTCATGATAAAATAAAAATTGAGTTTGTCAATGAGCACTTCTAAAAGCTGGCTAATACTCCGTATTTGGTTTTCCCCAAGTCATGATAAAATTAATATTAAAGATTATATTTCAACAAAACTGAAATTTATAGAAAAATTGTCCAATTACCCTTTTAATTTATGCCCTATTTTAGAACCAATGGTTGTTCTAAACACGAAGAAAAGTTTACTTGAGAAAATAGAGGAAATGGTCAATCTTGGAACCAAGATTGCAATGGACCACATTTTATAGCTCATTTAAGTCCCATTCTTAAACACCTGGCTGCTGGAATCTTGATTAGTCTTTATGCCCTTTGTATTATTCGTAATGTACATGGAACCAAAGAAATAAATGATTTTGGAGTTGTCTTCTTACTACTTAGTACTTGGCCTTAAGGTAGGATTTGCAAAGATAGGAAATATAGACTTTTACTTATTTTTCTATGTTAGTTTTTAACCATTTGAAATAACAAGTGTTTTGATATTTGCTTTTTTTTGGGAGACGTTAGGTTTTATGAAGAAGGGTATTTTTGGTTTAGATTGTCTTAAGTACTGTAAATTGTTATATGTTGCCATTCTTCCTTAAAGACAATATTTTATATGCACAAGCAAGTGTAGCCATTAGTGATAGTTGTAGTAATTGGCTTGGTGACCTATGTTGTTGCTGAACATTATAGTCCTGCAAGAATTGTTATTGGGAATGGTCTTGCATTATCCTCCACTTATGTTGTCCCTGGTCTATTTTAATATTATGATCAGAACTTAATTTACACAGATGATTTTCTGAAAAAATTGCACTATTTGTGCCGATTTGCATGCTGTTTTTGTGTTCCGGAAGTGCTTATTTGCTGAACTATCAATGTTTATTGTTGAATATATACTTTAACATGATTGCTTACTGATTTTCTAGAAAACTTGAAGTGATTCTTGCTGAATTTTGAACTTTTAGAGATGAAATTTGCATAGGAACATCATCTAGAAACATATATCAAGTTTTTTTTTCAAATTGATTTTTATTCATATAAGCTGCATTTTGCACGAAATGTGAATTTGGTTCAAAATCTGATTTTTGAAATCTGATTTCTAGCTTTAACCGCATATAAAGCTCCAAAGTTGATTTTTTATTGCTTAACTTAACTTCATCATTTTGAGTGATTTAAAAAAACACATATACTTTATTTTTATACTACAGGTTGAGGTGAACTACTACTCAATCTACACACCCTTTTCTCTTTGCATAGAAATTCGTTCCCTGGTCTATTTTAATACTATGATCAGAACTCAATTTACAAACTCTTTTCTGCAACCTATGCCCATAGAAAGATGCTGAGGTACATGATGATCCAGGTTTAAAGCCACATGCTATTAATATAATTATTTTACACTAATTAACAAGCTGATCCTCCTTATTAGTGTGCTTCTTTAACACATCCAGCTCCGCTTCATCCTCCCATTTACAGCAATGGACATATATGTTTAGGTTAGTTTCACTTAAGTGTAATACTTATCCTCACATGTTAACATTGTATTTATCATACTCACTGTGTGTGGTGTCTACTAATACTTTTTTTTAAAAAAGTTTCAATGCATTTTTTCTTTTTGCATTTTGTGGTAGACAACTCCGGAGTTGCATTTGCCGAGACTGGATTGCTAGGTATTTGTAGCAGGTTATGGTACCTATCATGTGGTTTAGAGGCAATGGAATAGTGTAATAAACCTTGGTGGAACAAAGTTGTTTGGTACAAAATGATACATTTGAAACACCAAACTCTTCTTTGGTTAATGTAGTGTAAAGAGAATATTAGTTAGGAAATGGGTGGAACGATCCTATGCAATTCACAGAGGACTTATATAATACGGAGTAATAAGGATAGAAGATAGAGGACGGAAGGTGTTAGGAGCCGTTGTAGAGATAGTTATGAATCATATTAAAGTTTTCCTTGATAACCGTCCATAATTAAAGTTCCCACTTTCCTTTTTCGGATGTCCACAATTAAAGTTTTCATTTCTTTTTTTGGTAACTTTTTTTAATCAAAAAGACTTAAATATCCTTCTTTACCTTTTACTTTTCTTCTCTCCTTCCTTTTCTTCTCTCCTCTTTTTCTTTCTTTTTTCTTCTGTTCTTCTTCTTTCCTTCTCTCTCTTTTCTTGTTCTTCTTCTTTCCTTCTCTCTCTTTTCTTCTTCTTCCACCTTCGGATTTTTCATTTCATTTCTTTTTTTTTCTTCTTCAGATTTTTCCTCCTTTTTTTCCCCTTCTGAATTTTCTTTTCTTCATCTTCTTCATTTCCTTCCGAGTTTTCTTCTTCTTCTTCCCCTATTTCGATTTTTCCTTTCTATTCTTCTTCTTCTTCTTTTTCTTCTTCCTCTTCTTCCCCCCTTCCGATTTGGCGTTTCTAGTCTTCTTCTTCTACTTCTTGTGCGTCAGATCTGGAAAAATCGGATTCAGATCTGTGAATCGGATTCATCTTCAGCGTCGATGAAGAAATTCGATTCAAATCTTTTTCATCTTCTACATCTCCTTCAGAACTCTTCGCAGGGTTTGAGTCGGAAATTCGCCGGAATTTCTCACTGGATTGCCGGAATCTCACTAGCCGGAATTTTGCAGGGTTTGAGTCACCGGAATTTCTCTCCGGACGATGGGATGGGCTGCAAGACTTGGCCAGGAACGGTGGGGGCTGTGCGTAAGGTTGAGGGGTATTTTGGGAAAGTCAATGTAAATTTTAACTTTTACAGAGTATTAAACTCCGTGCTCGATCAAACCGGGAACTTTAAATTTGGACGAAGGGAGTATTAAAGTTTTCCTTGATAACCGAAGCATGTCCAAAATAGCAATCCCAATTGGTTAAGACTTAGGAGTAGAGTTTGTAGACTTAGGTCATGTTCTCCTCAACTTATTTTTTTAACTTATTGCTTATTCTTATTGGAATCAGATCAGATCAGAAATAACTTGAAATATAACTACATTCAGATGAGATCAGATCAGATCATATTAGAACGTATTCCAATAAGATCAGAACCAATCAGACCAAGTGGAGAGAACATGGCCTTTGTATCTTTTACGTTTAGTATTGCTTGAAGAAAAATGCTAGGGTGCCCCCAATTGGGTGCTACCATGGGTGCACCCAAGCTTCGCACAGATGATTATGTCATTTGTTCGAAGCTTGGATGCACCTATAGTAGTACCCATTTGGGAACACCCTAGCATGACCCAAGAAGAAGACCTCTTACACTCTTTACAAGAGGCGATGAGGGGATTCACTCACCCAAGACTTTCACCATGTTCTCTTCGCCTGATATGATTATGTTTGATCTGATATGATTGTAGTTATTTATTTAAAGCTTTTTTATCCGGATCTGATTCCAATATAAATAAGTTATACTCCCTCCGTCCCAGAGTATTCGTCTAGTTTTGACTTTTGAAACTGTTCATCTAAGCACTTTGACTCATCAAATTCTCTCAATGTGTAAGCCTAAATATAGTCATGTGTTATCTTGTTTGATTCGTCTTAACATATAGATTATTAATATATATAATTTCTATAATTTTTTAATATACAAATTACAAGATAAAATGAATTAAAGAAGTGTATTGGATGCTGTGTAAAAATGAAAGTGGACAAATACTCTGGGACGGAGGTAGTAAGTACTGATCCCATAATTTTCTTAAATTATCGCATAAACAAACCAAAAATACAAAATCAAACAAATATTATGAAAATCAAACGAATCAAACAATTGGAGGTATTTTGGAGAAGTACAAAGTAACTTCTCATACGAAGAATCTTAAACTGTACATTTACAAAAAAGTTATTAATATATTAATTTTTGTATTTCTTCATTACATAATACTCCGTAGGCTTGTTTCGAAAGTTCAATTCAACTTCACATATGAAAAGTGTTATTTATTTATGTTTTTATTTTTTGTTGATAAATTTAAGAACATAAGTGTTTCTTGAATTTTATTTATTCATTATATTTATCAATTTTTTTAATATTTATTCAGGGTTGTAAATGGATAACTGAAAATTCGATTACCGTCTGCATTCGTGTCCGTTTATACGGAAAAAATCCGCATCCGTTAAAAGCGGTTATTATCCGTATCCGATTAAGGATATCTGATTGGTAAACAGATACGGATTTGGTAATCATACATCCGGTCCGTTTATAATCCGCTCCGCATAGACATCCGTTTAAGTAATCGTTTATCCATATATCTGATTCATTATATATAATTTTCATAATTTTTTATAATTGTATTTTGATTTTCTATTGACATCTCAAAGTATAAGACATTTTTATATGGAAAATATATGTTTAGACACATAAATATATGTGTAGACACATAAAAATATGTGGGTATGTGTATTATGTATATCTTTTTACCATATGAAGTTGTCATAGATTATTATAAATTATAAAAAATAAGAAAAAATTAATCCGTAACAAATTACAATTCAATAAATAATATTTTGACGTTAATTTAATTGGAAATTATAGTATTTTTCAACTTAATTTAAAAAATTGGAAACAGATACGGATGTATCCGACGGATGCGGATACGGTTTTGATTTTAAGTATCCGTCAAGATCCGTATCCGAATTTGATATCCAATAAAAATAAACGGATACGAATCTGGTAATGGCACATCCGATCCGATTAATATCCGTTTACACCCTTTTATTTATTTACTTATATATATATATATATATATATATATATATATATATATATATATATATATATATATTGGTTCTGGTGAGAATGCAATCTTAAGAGAGAAATGAGAATGAATCTAGTGTTTTAGATTGTGCGATCTAAGGGTCAGGATTGCATCAAAATTAGGTGCAACAAAATGGTTCGAAAATGCATCACGTCGAAATGCATCATAATCTTTTGAAAATGCACTATCTCAAAATCTGAGCGCAGGATGCAATCTGAGCCGCACGATGCATCAAATCGAACGGCTAGATTTAATTCTCATTTCTCTCCACAAGGTGCATTCTCACTCCAGTGAGATGACACCTTAAGGTGAGATGACATGCTTCAGTGAGATGACGCCATGCTCACCACACAACACTACAAAGCTCGCTCACTTAGAAATGAAGCAAAGCTCACCATTTTGAACACCAAAACTCACCTTTTTTTTAAATTTTGAAAATTTAAAAACTAATAAAAAAATAACAACACCAGTCAACCACCGGTCAGAGGCGTTAATAGATTCAAGTGAGAATGATCTTTACTACGATAATAGACCTTATCATGAGAATGATGTATTTTTATGCCGTCACGATGCATTTTTTATTATGATAGTGCATTTTTGGCACTGGGAGTAAAGTTCAACTTATTCACCACAATCCCACCGCGTTTTTTCATACTCCCTCCGTCCTATAATGATCTTCCCGGTTCATTTTACGAAGTTTGACCGACTTTATTTTCAATTCAATTTATTTGATTGTAGGTGTAAAATTAAAAAATAAAAATTATATATTTAAAAACTACATCAAAAGTTCTACAAAACAAGTGGTGACAAGACTATATTATTTTAAGAAATCACCCTACGTAGCACTCTAACTCATCCAATACTACGCATTTAGCACTGCTTATTGTTTTTTACCAAATTAGCTATTTATGTTGTCAATCTCTTCCAATCATATCCTTTATGTTGTCAATCCCTTTTATCTATCCCACTATCAATTGTTTCAATTCCTCTTTCAACTCCTATATCAAATTCGGACTCACATAATGTATACTTTGTGGATAGTGGCATAGTACTCTTTTTTATCAAATTCTTTCTTCAATCAATTAAATGTAGTTTTGAATAAATATATATAATAAAAATACGATATATCAAAATTATATCATAAAAATATGCCAATTATAAATATTTTCTTCATCCCAAAATATGGCTCTTATTCGATTTACGATGTTTGATTAAAGTTATTTTCAAATCAATATAAGTAAAACTATGCCAATTATAAATTCTTCCTTCATTCCGATCCATTATCCATTTCTTTTTAGTACCACATAAATAAAGTTGAACATACGTCTAATACTAGCATCATCTAACATTATACAAAATCAAAAAAGATCAAAAAAAAAAGCCAAGCCCATGTGTTGGCCAGTGTGTTTTGGTGTAATTATTCATGAAATCAGTCATACATTTTTTGGCAGTGTGGAATTCATAAATGAAAACAGTCATATACATTTTTGGCAGTGTAGAATTCATACATGAAAACAGTGTGGAGTTCATACATAAAAAGAGCTATACATTTTTTGGGCAGTGTGGAATTCATACATGAAAATAGTAATACATTTTTTGACACTGTAGATTTTATACATGAAATTACTGTCACATAAATCAATGGACATTACACTACAACATGAAATTAAGGAACACAATAATATATTTACACACTGCCGTAAGATATAACAACATATATCTATTCTACACTACCACATTAAACTCACATATAAAAAAACTACACTGCCCACAACACAATTACGAGTGAACAACCACACTGCCCAAAACAATCATATTTTTTGGCAGTGCATAATGAGCATTTGCTATTTAATTCAAGGTCAAAATCGGAATCACATGTACGAAACATATAGCACTGCTATTTAGAGTATTTTAGTGCTCTAAGAGTGCTATTTTGGTTTTTCTTCCTATTATTTTATCAAATACCTAATGAAAATAGGTAAAGAAAGTGATTAAAGTTTGACCGTGTAAAAAATGTGTGGGAAGAACATTATAGGACGGAGGGAGTATATTTTTTTTTTGAATTTTTCAAGCTATTAGATCTTATATCTAATGCACGAGATGCATTCTTATTTCTTTCATTAGATTGCAATCTCACTTGATCATATATATACATTTTCAAAATGACTTAATTTCGTTCTTTGCACGGGGTCATATACATTTTCAAATTTTTAACATTTTGATAAAATTATATTTTGAATTTAAAAAATGAATTAAGATATGTTTTAATTTATTTGATATTCCAATAAATATTTGGTACGTCTTAGATAAATCTTTCCTAATAATTAGATATGATCCCTTATTTTTGGAGCAAAAATTGTAGTTTTAATAATGATACGCATTTACTAATCTTTATGTAAATATTTATTAGTTAGGAATAGTTTAAAATTTTTATTTTAATCTTTATATTTTATAAATAATAAAACTTATATAACCTTCTTTTTAAAATAATAAAAAATTATATAGATTAGAAAAACTAAAATAGTGAAATGCATCCCTAAAAAAATAGTGAAATGCAGGTTGGTATACTCTGTAATACTTAGGAAATTAAAAGTTTAATACAAAATTAATGACCACTAAATGTAATAATAATGAAAACTATTTTAATAAGTGAAAAATTTAAGTAATATTAGCGAAAATTAATTGAATGAAATCAATAGTTGATAGATTTAAAATTTTACTCCCTCCGTCCCTAAATATTCACAACATTTGCTTTTTCAGCAGTGTCGGGATCTTTTGTTTATTTCAACGTTTTCATTGATTATTTGATAAAATAAAATATTCTTGACACCTCTTATTTCGAAGAACTTTTCATGTAGTTTTTTTATATATAAATTTTATTTTTTATTTCTTTACCAATATGTAAATAAAATGAATTGAAAAAACTTAATATTTTGCCTCGGGAATACAAATGTGGCAAATAATTTGGAACGAAGGGAGTATATACAACATTGTTTGTTATATTAACTTTAAATATTAATATATGATAAATCACAAAGTGTATTTAGTTGATGATGTGTCTTTAGTGATTTAGCAACTGTGACTATCACTACCTATGCCAATTTGGTAAGTTCTCTATGAGTACATCTCACTGCCAAAAACAAAATAATGTTCTGTGAGTACAAGGTACAATCCATTGGCGCAACAAATTACAAAACAATAGGGAGTACTCTATGCTAGGACAGTGCAGATTGCAGAACATGTAGGCTCAAATTTACAAAAGCTAATTGCTTCTCTGTTGCCGTTTGTACCCCAAAACTCTTGCGTCTAGCACACTACTAAAGAGCTCCACAGTAAAAAGAGTAAAGTACTCCCACCATCTCTTTTACAACTTCCCACTTTGGTTTGTGATATAAATTTATGGAGTGTTTTTCTGTGGTGTGCTTATTGACTCATTGATGATAATCATTTTTTAACATATAAGTTGCTTATAAGCCAAATATTCTTTTGTGGAAGTAAAATGACTTAAATGATATTCAAGTCATTTAAGAATATTAATAAATGACGAGAGATAGTTTTGTAAATAATCTGATTAAAACAGAGAAACCGACTAAAAAATAAGTAGGTGAGAACTACTTATTTTTTCTAGCTTATAAGCACAGAGAAATATGTCATCAAATGACTTATAAGTTAAAACTACTTATAAGCAGTTTTGACCAATTTATAAGCACAAACTCCACAAAGAAATACCCATTTAATATCAATTAGTTCATTTTGGAAAAAGTAAATTAAATTGTGCTATAAATTTAATTATAATTAGTTCACTTTGAAATATAAGTTTGAAATATTACATTTTATAATATACGGAGTATACAATCTAGTATTGATAAATAAAGATATTGGTCAAAGTATTGCATTGAAGATCATAAAAATCAAATGGGAAGATTCAAAAGAGATGGAGGGAGTACTAATATTCGGAAGGAGCAATGCTAGGGGTACACCAAAGGTGTACCCCAAATTGACACCACCCCCTTCTTCACCACCCATTTTTATTTGATTTTTATTTATTTATTTTTGAATTTCTTGCCAATTTATGTGGACAAGGAGGGGATGGGGGACATATGGGGTAGGTGTACCCCTAGAAAGGTGTACCCCTAGCATTTTTCATTCGGAAGAGATGGACAAGACTTATGGGGCCTTAGGCCCGTAAGTGGAGCACTATTTTTTATATAGAAAAAAAGGATGGGCTTGCTGGCCTAACAGGCCGATCTTGATTCTCAGATCCACCCATTTACGAGTTGGCCCCGCCCCGCCTGTACGGGTAATTATGTTCGTCCATCGACTCTTCATTGAACGCCTCTCACTAGTGCATCTTCTTGATACTTCCTCCCTCCCAAAAAGTTTTACACATTTTGACTAAAGTGGAAATTAAGGGAGGGATAATTTTGTGTTGACTTTTCAAAAATAACCTTGATTTGATGTGTAAAAGTAGGATGTGATGTGTAAATTATAAGGAAAAAAGTATGATGTGATAGGTAGAATTTTAAAAAGTAAAGGGTAAAAGTGGTTTTTAATAGAAATGGGTAGGAGATTGTGGGACGCAATTTTTTTGAAAGGGGTAAATCTTTTTGGGACAGAGGGAGTACTTAAATTGCACAGGAGGCTGACAAGTGAGTATAAATTACACTGATGGCTTAAGAGGCAGAAGTAGTGTCTAGGGGGAAAAGAAATACAGAGCATGTTCAAGTACAATATGAACTGGTACTAGCAGATGATTCAACTCTATTTCTGATCTCCTAATTCCAGGCACCCAACATGTGTAAACATCCATATGTATAAACAGACACAGTATAATGAATAACTCACTTCAAACTCAGTGCCTCCTGTTTACTCTATCCAGGACAGTACCCTATATAATCTTGGAAAACATCAAGGAAAATCAAAACTAAAACTGAAAGAAATTAAAATCTTGCATATATTTCTTAAGTAGTTATATGTAATAGAAATGCATCGACAAAATGAGTTTGAGCAACTCTTTTCCTTCTCAAAATTTCATTTCCTCCAGACAATAAGCCTTTGCTTGGATGTGTGGAAAAGGAGAGGAAAGAAAATTGGAGAAGAAACATGGATTTCGAGACATTTTCTCTTGTTTGGATTGGAAAGAAAATGGGGAGGAAAGGAAAAGAAGTGGAGTTGGATGAACATTCATATTCTATGTTACTTTTTCCTTCATGGATCTATTCATATACAAAGTACTCCTAGCCAATTCATGAACACAAGAGGTAACAATTAGATTCTTATTTCTTGCAAAGAAGACCTTTTTCATAAGATCATAGCATCTGATGATGATGATGATGATGATGATGACACAACAATAAGAATATAAGTCAAGCACACATTTCAACCGAAAAACTCGAAAATCACCCAAATGCTTGCTTATAGTATTATATACTTATTGATTGAAGCATGTTTTTATAAATTACGCAGAAATCGATTAGGGATTAGGATTGAATAACATTGCCAACGACAGGATACTTAGCTTCGAATTTCTTCTCCCAGTCGGACAGGACTCCGATTTCCTTTTCGGACAGACCATCGAGGGAAGGGGAGACCTCTTGCTCCTCCTTGCTCATCTTCGCCAGGGCTCTGCTGGCGTCTTTGCCGGCGAAGACGGAGTAGCTCCCTCCGGGGCCGTAGAAGGACTTGCCGGAGGAGACGTCGAAGATGCGGCCCTTAATCGCGACGTAAATTGGCTTCGACGGATCGGATCCGTCGTACTGCTTCAGCTCCTGCCCCGTGATCTGCATTCTCAGAGCTTCTCCGATCTCTCTGGAGCAAAACCCTCTTCTTCTCCTTCTTCCTGCTTTCCCTAGGAGTTCACGATTCGTGATTGCTTGGGAAAGGTTTGGGACCAAACGTTGAGACTTTGTTTGGATGGGTGCGCAAGTTAGAGTTATTATAAAATATAATGACTTTTCTCAATATAGAATCATATGTTTTTATTTCTCAAAGTAGGACCATTGGTCATTATCTATTAGTCATTATTCAACTAAATGTCCAGCATCACTTGGACATTATTTTTCTCACTAGTCATTATTAAGTCCTATTTAAGGAATAAAAAAGTTTAAGTCCTACATTGGAAAATGATTTATGTTTTAGTTCTATTCAATGCAAATTTTACTACTATTTATTCTTATTCAAATCAAATTAAACTAGAAATTACATTAACACTATGTTTGGTTTAAGGAATTCGGAAGAATTATAATAAGGGTCCGTTGGGTATACGGAATTGACGGAATTAGAATTGAAATTCCACGAAATTTAATTCAATACAATTGAATTTTGTCAATTCCAATTCATTTTTTGCGCAATCAATTCCAAATCCACATAATTTTTGTGCTACCAAACAACGGAATTGGAATTGAAGTTCTCAATTCCAATTTCATAGTTTGAATTCCATGTACCAAACGGAGCCTAATATTTTTCTCCCATTTTGCACTTCAAAATGGAGGAATTTAATTTTCCATTCCTCTTTACACATTTTGCCTTCTCATTTTCCTTTTTCTTCCATTTTTCTTTTGTTTTCCTTTCTAACTAAACAAAAAACATTATTGTTTTTCATTTCAAGTTCTTTTCTTTTCCCTTTCAAATTCTTTAAACCAAAGACAGTGTAAATATAATTGTATTCAAATTAAGTTTGATTTGAATTTATTCTGATCAAAATTATTTAAATCAGGTGAAGAGATCGAATGTATAAAGATCAAAATTACTACCTCCGTCCCAGAGTGTTTGTCCACTTTCATTTTTACACACCATCCAATACACTTCTTTAATCCATTTTATCTTGTAATTTGTATATTAAAAAATTATAAAAATTATATATATTAATAATCTATATGTTAAGACAAATCAAACAAGATTATACATGACTATATTTAGGCTTACACAGTGAGAGAATTTGATGAGTCAAAGTGCTTAGATGAACAGTTCCAGAAGTCAAAACTGGACGAATACTTCGGGACGGAGGGAGTAAAACATTTTGTATTTTTTTCAAAATAACAAAGGTCAAATGGTAGAAAATAGAAATTTTTGAACTATAGATTGAGTCCCGTGTGGACATATGTCTAGGGGTGGGCACGGGCCGGTCCGAGCCAAAATTTGTATAAACCGGACTCGACTTGTTTTTTTCAAACGGTCCGGGCCGGAACGGGTTTTCAAAATTTTAAAATTGAAACCGGACCTAACCCGGCTTGTTTGAAACGGGCCGATTCTACAGGTCAACGGGTCCTAATCTATCATGATACTAATATTAAAAAAATAAAGGGATAATAAATTAATTTAAGTCATCCAACATAAAAAAGAGGCGTAAATGAAAATAAAATAATGACAAAGAGGGGCATGAGACTAAAGAGTACACCCCATGATCATCCAACAACAATAATAAAAAAAAGACAACCATATTTTAGCATTATAATGTCAATGGGTTCCAAAAAGAACAAAATTTACAATCTTCATGGGTTCCGACTTTCTAACTATGAAAGGTTTTCTTACTTTTCTGCCTGCGATTGGAAGGACCAAAAGATTGAAGGGCTTAGGCGGGTATATTTCCGTATATCCGTATATTTACTAAAAATAATATTAAAAATAATATTGGGATTTAAAAAACGGTCCGGTCCGGGTCCAATACAATTTCAAAATGAGAAACCGGACCGACCCTAAAATTTGTAAGGACAAGACCGAGCCGGACCATTTGAAAATTTTGAAAAGAGGACCCGACCCTAACCTGGACCGAACCTAGCGATCCGGTTCCGACTCCCGGTTCCTGGACCGATTGCCCACCCCTACATATGTCATTCCAGCCCCCATCGTCAGAAACGACTTTCACTAGTTGGGAAGAGTTTTTTTTTTTTTTAAATTTCACTAATCAGGAAAAGACCCCCTCACGCAGCCTGATTCGAGCAAAACATATACCCACACCGAAAACTTTCACATAAAGAAATCTGGAATACAAACAATAAAGAACCCAACACCATTGAGACGAATTTGAGGGTTCAGCGGGCCAAGTAATCTCACAGTCACTTGTCAATTTTGATAAAATAGATACTTTTATTAATCTTCACTATTGACCTGAATACTTGGCCCCAAATCTTCCTTGTTTAAATTTCTTTTTTCCTCCTTCAATACAATATTTGTTTATCAGTTTTAACTTTTTATCTTCAAAATTGATAAATTTTTAACATTAATTAAATCAAATTTGTATCCACTATTAAGAGTAGAATAATTTTCAACCGTAGCTGTGGAACAAAAGTTCAGTTTTAGTGGCAACAATCTAACTGACTACTGAAGTTGTCTTAGCGCTGAATTGTTTGAGACACTTGTTTGCAACTGAGATTAGCTCTTGGCAAGACGTCGAACTCAAGAGTCAGAGTACGACATTAGTACACAAAATTATATGGATGCAACCATAGAGGAAAGTGGTAGTTTGAGAAAAATATTTATATTTTTATTTTATTATCTAATTAGTTTTTTTAGGTGAGCGATTTATGAGCCCTTTCGAGGGTTTCTTTTCGATTCTTTACCTCGTCATTTTTTTGAATCGTCGGGATAATAAATGTTATTGTTTTTGTACTATTCATTTTTCATTATTTAAATAACAACTACATTCTTAGAATTTATAATTCTAAGAATATTTAATTTATTTTATACTTACAAATTTACAACTAAAATTAATTGCGATTCGCCGAAATCGGCCCGGAACAAGTGCCAGAACCGGTAGTTCTAGAACCGGTGCCGACACTAGTAACGGTGCTAAGGGGCGGCGATACTAGACCGACGGTTCCGGAGCTAGAAGCCTAGAACCGTACAGGAAGCGTACCTTGTCCATATTATAGATAAATAAATATAAATATTCATTTATATTTATTCTTGATTATCCTTGATTTGCTTTCCTTATCTCACGTGTATTTATTGTATACCATGTATAGCTCCTAGACTTTAGGCTATGATTTGGGATCTAAACTTAGTCCCTCTTAGTTGTTACTATTTATATACGTTATGATGAATGAAGAAGCATTGTATTCTGACTTCATATGGTATCAGAGCATCAGTAAAGGATTCTTTTTCTTCCTTTTTCGGTCCTTCACGCACGAAGCTGCGTCCAAACCAATTTCTTTCTCTTCTCTTTTTCCTGATCTTGTTGCTCTACCGGCATGGCTCCTTCTGTAGCTCCATCATCTTCTAATATCACCTAAGACACCCAGGTGATCCAGCTTCATGCAAAATCTCACTTTCCGATCAAATTGGTCTCTACCAATTTCTTGATCTGGCAACGTCAGGTCCGTTCAACTCTCATCGGACTTGATCTTCTGGGCTACATTGACGGCACACTTGCTGCCCCAGCTCCAACAGTCAACGACGCGATCAATCCTTGCTACTCAATTTGGTTCCGACAAGACCAGTCCATTGTGGGTGCTCTTCTCGGTAGTTGTTCTGATCAGGTTCAACCACTGATCTCCAATGCAGACACCTCTCACGATGCCTGGCAGAGTCTTCACTCTGCCTTCGCCAGCACCAGTCGTGGGCATATTGTCTCGCTCAAATCCAAACTTGGAAAAAATCCTCGAGGAGATCGTACCATTACGGACTATCTTCATGACATGAAAGGTATCGCAAATGAACTTGCACTTGTTCAGTGTCCCGTTGCCGAGGAGGATCTTGTTGTTCATATCTTGAATCAAGTTGGAGAAGAATATGATCACATCTCCTCCGCTGC